CCACAGTTGCCCCTTCTCCCAGGTGCTCTGTCCTAGGGAAATGAGGGTTTTATTTATAAGTCCCTAATTGGGACACTGGCCTTTTTTTCAGAGATGCCCTGTCCAGAGAGTAGGAATCTAGAGAGGTAGTCTGGCTACAGCGGCTTTGCTGAGCTGAGATGGGCTCCACCTAGTTCGAACTTCCCATTGACTTTGTTTACACTGCAAGGTTAAAACCACCTACTCAAGCCTCAGCAATGGTGGACGCCCCTCCTTCCACCAAGCTCAGTGTCCCAGGTAGACCTCAGACTGTTGTGCTGGCAGTGAGAATTTCAAGCCTGTGAATCTTAGCTTGCTGGGCTCCATTGAGGTGGGACTTGCCCACCCAGACCACTTGGCTCCCTGGCTTCAGCCCCCTTTCCAGAGGAGTGAACAGTTGTGTCTTGTTGGCATTCCAGGTGCCACTGGGGTATGAAAAAAAAAAACCCAAAAAACTCCTGCAGCTAGCTTGGTGTCTGCCCAAACAGCTCCCTAGTTTTGGTGAAGGCACCAGAGGGAATCTCCTGGCCTGCCAGTTGCAAAGGCCATGGGAATAGCACAGTATCTGGGCTGGAGTATACCATTCCTCCTGATACAGTCTCTCACAGCTTCCTGTGGCTAGGGGAGGGAAATCCCCTGACCCCTTGGGCTTCCTGCATGACGCAATGCCCCACCCTGCTTTGGCTTGCCCTCTTTGGACTGCACCCACTGTCCAACCACTTCACATGAGATGCACTGAGAACCTCATTGGAAATAGAGAAATCATCTGCTTTCTGCATTGGTCTCTCTGGGAGCTGCAGACCAGAGCTGTTCCGATTCAGCCATCTTTCCATCAAATCTGACTTCATGTTCTTTTAACTGACAATACTTTAAAGATTTCTTGTAAAAACTACTATCTTCAACCAAATGCTTATCTGCAAGATTTCTATCATTTAGCAAAAATGGTGGAATATTAGATTGCAAATAGACAAGCATTTTGTAACCTTCTTTATCTTCTTATAACAATGCAAAGCCAAGTCACAAGAACCGAGAGAACTGTGACTTTTTTAGAAAAAAGCTTCAGTAGATAATAATAAAGACATGTAGATGTGAACAGCCTAAAAAGATTACTCATACAGAATAAATATTAATTTGACTGGTAGGTCTACAGAGTATGTTATGTTCTAATTCATAATACATGGGAATAAAAATGCAAGGCAAAATATTAAAATAAACCCTTTCCATTTATTTTTCCAACACATAAACTAAAATTTAAAAATATCTAAAGGCTACACAGAAATATAAGAAGACCACTGTGAACTAAATATTCTTTCCTTATGTGTTTGTAAGTGTGTGTGAGAAAGGAATTAAAAATTATTACTTGCCTGGGTGCGGTGGCTCACACCTGTAATCCCATCACTTTGGGAGGCCGAGGTGGGGGGATCACAAGGTCAGGAGATCGAGACCATCCTGGCCAACATGATGAAACCCTGTCTCTACTAAAAATACAAAAATTAGTCAGGCATGGGGATGCATGCCTGTAATCCCAGATACTCAAGAGGCTGAGGCTGGAGAATCGTTTCAACCAGGCAGTCAGAGGTTGCCGTGAGCTGAGATTGCACCACTGCACTCCAGCCTGGAACAGAGCAAGACTCCATCTAAAAAAAATCATTACTCAAGTATGTAGGGGTGAGTGTTTTATAGTATAATCCAGCAATATATGCTATCAAAAGTATATAATATAAAATAGCTTAACTACTGACTGCTAAAAAAAAAGTCTTGAAAGTAATGGCAGCAAGAAAGCTGGGAGGGTGGACTAAAATGGCCCTTATAATCTGTTGTTCATATATTTATTCTTTGCGGGCTTCCATAGAGTTAGATGGAGAGAAGATATGAAAGCCTTCTGGCTAATCTGAACACTATAGGTAGTCAGTCCACATAATTCATGTCCAAATATGAATAATTTTGGGAGTCCAAATGTTCCAATTTGGACTGTTATACAAGACAAATTACTTGTCCTTGCAAATATCTGCTTCAATATGTGATACATAACCAGAATTCAGGGAAAATATGGTAGTATTTCCAGGTAAAAACCTGAAGTAGGGGAATAATAAAATATTAATAAATGGCTAATGATTTCAAGTTGCAAAACCAAGTGTGTACACTAGAAGCCATGATAGGAATAATAACATAAAATATAAAATAGAGACAATAACAGTTGCATGCTTTTGTTTTTTCAGATGTTGCAATAATATGAAAGGCACTCTATTTTAATAGCTTTCCTAAAAAATTCATTTTACATGGTAGTCTTGATTTTATAGCTTACTATGAAATATTGTTTCTGTAGTACATTTTTCAAATAAGAACAACTTCAAAATTAATTGAGTGTCAGAAATATTAGGATATAGGCTGCCTAGGGATAAAATATATAATAAAGCAAAGAGTAAGGTAAGAGTATATGCAAAAAATTAATACTTTTGAGGCTCCAACACTAAGCTCTCAGATGTGAATTAATGATTAGTAACTTCAATTACAAAGACAATGTGTCACTGAAAGCTAATTTTAATTAGCTTCTACTATTGTATGTGTACTTTTCTTCTATCCTAATATGATTTAATTTTGTCTAGTTTATATGTTACTGAATACATCTAATTTTCCTTAAAAATACTCAGTGGCCTAACATCAAATAAAGTATTTTAATGGCAAGTTATAAACTTCAAGCACAGTAAGTAATATAATTGTTATTCACTTGTCCACCGTTATTTACAGCTTGACATTATGTTTTCCTGAAGTATAATTATAAAGGTAAGGATATAACATTCTAAAATAAGGCAATTAATAATAAGGATGCCTTAATTAACTAAACTCATTTTTCTTCAAAGACTATATGTAAATAAACAGTGTAAACATGTAGCCTAATTTCCCATTGATTTATACAATTAATAAATAAAAGAAGTTATCCTCCAGGAAAAGAAATTACCAAAAATACAAAAGTAGAAAAAAATCCAATTTTGTTACGAAGAGGTCATTGCACATTCTAAAACTTGTTAAATATATAGCCTAGCATTTTTGTTGGTCCTGTTTTTATATCTTAGTTTATATCTTGTTAGTTTCTGTAAAAACAAACCCCAAAGCTTGACAATGTGGCAAGCTTCTCCTGTATCTCTGGCTGCCACTCTTAATAGGCTCTGACTAAATGTTGGCCGGTGCTAGTGTTGGCAATGAGATGGTCTCAGCACAGGCTCTAGCCATATGCGACTGGTCACCTTGATGGGCATGGCACAGTGACCAGATAGCCCTGCCAGTGAAAGCTTGGGTAATGCATGATAAATTTGTTTTCAATTTTATGTAGTTGGTAATAAATATACATCTGCATAATAACGGTGAAGTATGTCAGAGACAGAGTAGCTACAACAAAAGAAAGCATTAAGTGATATCAAATTAAAATATTCAGAGCTGCTATTCTTCATTTTCCCATGAAACTCTCTATTGTTTCTCCTAAAGGCTTAGCCTTTCTATAGATGGAAGAGGTAAGACCTTCATGGGGTGTTACTTAAAGGGCAGTTACCCATAATACTTCCCTCATAGTTTTCCAGAGAACTACCATTTCCCACCTGCCATGAAATGCCCACTATTAGACTGATGTTTTTGGGGTAGTAAGAAAGATGGTGCTGTGCATGTGGGAAGGGGATGAGCCTATTCTATTCATAAAATTAAGTGAATTAGCCAGTTTATACCATGGAAGGATTATCAGTGGGATGAGGACATTAAGTGCTGAAGACAAACGTCCATATTTTTATAGTTTTACGTTATTCAAGGTGAAAGGAACAAATGTGTTCAGCAGCAACACTTAAAATGCTAGCATCAAATGTACTACTATGCATAAAAGGATTTGAGTAGGTTTATGTTTGGTACGACTAATTGTTTCATCACACTCAGAAGCAAGAATATTGTGAAAAAGGATCCTCCATGCCCTTTACTGAAGAAACTCATTAAAAGTTGGAAAAACCCATTATTACTGCTTAAGCAAGCCCACTATATTCTCAGCGGCCTCCGAAGGTTGGTGCTATGGACTTAATCTGTGCCTCACTGTCCAAAAAGGGATTCTCAATCAGTTATAGTTATAAAAACATTTTGTGGGCACATATAAAAAGGTTTTCTAGTTATTTCTATAGTATCTATATAGAAGTGCTTTGTACGTTTTCACTAACCCTAAAGCTGATTGTATTCTGCTTTTAGAATAATTTTTTCCAGAAAGCATGAATGACCATCATTATAAATAAAGCTGAAGAAATTCCACAAATAAATGCATTTCATATGGGGAAAAAGTTATCAACGTACTAGGTTTTAAACAAATATTTTTAAACTATTTTCAGTTTGATTTGACATAGTTTTAAACTTTTTATGAATTTACTAATTTATAGGATATATTTGTAATCTAAATAATTCCAAACAGAAAGCCTCCTGTAGGGCAAATCCCAGCACTAATCCATGACTCATTATCTCAACTTTAATTGGCACAACTCTTCAAATTCAGGGACCATATGGAAAATAATGAGTCCTAATAGGTCTAAGGTGAAAAGATGGCAGAGGAGTAAGGAAGCCAGAAAACCATCAATTTAAAAAGCTTAGCAACTGCAACACAATTTCCCCAGAGATCCAGAACAATGTGTTCTCAATGTTTTACTGGTCTTGCTACCATATCTCTAAACTGCATACCATTTTTCATTCTGTGAGACAAAGATTAAAGTGAAAAAACAGAAAGAAACCAAAAACTCGTTTCTATAATTAAAAATGAAATCAGCTGACTGTTAATTAAAAAAAAAGACAGTAGTTTAAAGTTACCATAACAACCTAATGCAACCGTTGACTGACATGGCAATCTGTTGCATTTTTATAAATAGCAGTTGATTTTCCCTCTTTCATTTCAACTTGTTTTAGTGCTTATTGGAGCTAATGGAATAACTGTGCTTCAAGACTACTTCACTTATCAAGGAATGTACCTTTTCACTGCTGTCACCACCGTAAAAATCATCCTCTGATTGGGTGTCTCTGCTTGTCACACTGTTATCCTCTTTTAGATCCAAAATAAATGAGAGCTCCTCTGGGGACATAGTCTGAGTCTTTCCATGAGGTGCTGATCGTGGTCTTGATGAAAAAGTGAAAATGTCCTTTGGAACACTCTGAGATTCCTCTGCCTGCTGGTCATGTTCACTGTCCTTGCTGGCTTCCAGACACAGGTGTGATGGATTGCAGGAGTCATCATCCAGAAGTAAAGACTGTCTGCTAGATGCCAGATGTGAAATGTGATCAGCATTTTCAGGAAAGATCCACTCATCTGATAGTTGGAAAAGATGACAAAAATTAGAGCAGTGCTCCATAAAAGTGTTATTTTAGGCAGGTAGTTAGGCTAAAATTTCTTGTTGTCGAAACAGATTTATCAAATAATGCAAAAACCAAGGAAGGCAATTTATCCACCATCTTGTAACCTGCTAAACATTCTACCCATATATCAGTGCCTTTAGCTACCGGCAACTCATTTGCACTTCCTCTCCATATGAGTTGAAACACTGACCAGGAATTTTATAAGTCTGAAATAATTATCAACTGTCTTGCAGCAAGTTCTTTATAGGACAACCTTATTAATTTGACATTCCAGAGGGGGAAAGTCTTCCAAATTTAAAAGGGGTTGAGTTATTAATATCTCCTTTTAACTGCAGGAGGACAGACTACTTAACCAGCTTCTTTAAACAAAGTATCTGGTCTTTATTCAGATTACAAATCATGGAGGAGAGGAAACCATGAAAAGGTTGGCAGTCATTTTCTCTCCATTCCACTGATTCAAACAGAACAATTCACAGACCAAATCAAGTAGCCTTTTCAAGTAATAATAAATACACAGACATATTTGCTAATTTGAGCAGTGGATTCTGCTGGGTGAAAAAGGCCTTTATGTTTAAGTTTGTAAGACAGAATGTTTTGATATGAAAAATCTTTTAGCATATAATTTTTTTCTTTAAAATACTGTACACTACTACTGGGAAATATAGATTTTATAAAAACTTTAAGGACTTCAATCTTTTATACTACATTGAGATAGAGTTTATAGCTCTATGATCCTGACACATTGAAAAGGACAAATCTTGATAGTGATATCATTAAAAGCATGCTTTCTTCTTTAGAATGACAGTAGGAAAAAGTTGCGCATTTTCTCAATGTAGTCTATTTTTCTTGAAGTTTGCTTTTTTTTCCCCCAGCTTATTTCATTGGTAAATCTTGCAGAACCACAGTGTAGTCATGATAATTTTACACCTTATTCTTGAATCGTATTATATTTATGATCACAATAAAAGTAACCAAAAGAGATTTAAGATTTGGAACCCTAAAGCCTATGATACAAAAGCAAAAGAACCCACAAAAATCTTTAATAAAAAGAACTTTGATAGCACAACTAAAACACAAATGTATTTATCTGTTTTGTAACTTAAGACTATCATTACATAACATAACTTGCCTGTAAAAAGGGTGATCAATGTATACCTTTTAGAGAAAATCTACGAGGGACAAGGCTTTCATATACTGAGGGACATGAGTCTATAGGCATATGGCCAATGGCAGGCTGAGTGTAGTTCTTCTGCCCACCTTCACAGACGGGTGCAGGGGAATATGGTCCTGAGTCACTGTAGCTGTGGGCCAGTGAACTAAACTGGTTCACTGGGCTCCCCTATTTTGGACAGCAAACTCCTTTGCATGGTGCTGGGTACATGGCAGATCCTTTGTAAGCAAATTAGGTGCTTTACAAGAGCTGAAAAATGTTACAAAAGCCAATAGGTTGCATTTTGTATATGGACATGTGAAGGAAACACTGGAAAAGATACTAGGAATCTTCATTATGCACTTAAACAATTTGTATGACCTATTGCCAAACATATTATAAACTGTAAAAAAGTCAAAGTAAAAAGGGTGTTTTACACCAAACTAACTGTAATTATCTCACTGCCACATGCTTTTTATGGAATTTGCAGTTTTACCTCAAGTATTTCCATATCAATTGTAATGAATAATTTGGTGTGTTTTCTTAGAAAAATATGTAAATTACTGTGTAATCACAATATTGCAGCAAACAAGATAAATGCAAGAATGATCACCTAAACATCTAATTAGTTTTTCTACACAGTCAGATTTATGCTAGAGACACTAATTGCACCTAACATTTTAATGAAGTTTTCAGCATTGCATAAATAAGACTGACAAACCACAAACAATTTTCATTTATTTTCTTTTTCCCCTTGCTCAAAAACAATTTGCCTTTGTAAAAGTAGCACACACCTGCTAGGTAAGATATGTTGCTGAGCTTAATGCTCTCAGCTCCAACCATCTCCATTATAAAGAGGACTGGAGAAATGCAACAATTGATCATCTTTGGGGAGGGTGACAGTGTCATGGAAAAATGTCAGTTTTAAACTTTTGTTGTGAAAAGGATGACCATTAAAGCTTGAAAATAAAAAAATACTCTTTCATCCATTAATGTTTGACATAAAAGTGAGGTTAAATAAGGAGATTTACAAAAACTTACACATTTTAGCAAATTGGCTGCATCATCACTTTTCAAAATGACTGGATTTTAAATATTTGCCATATTTATATTTTATTAATTATGACCAGATATGGTGTAATGAAGATGCCAACCTGATTGATCAGGAGACTGGGGTCCTAGAGTGATGGAGTTCAACAGCTCTGCTCCTTGTTGGGACACAGTAGTGAGGCCAGTTGATGCTTTATCTTCATTCCTATTATTTCCTGAAGAGCTGCCTTTATTGAAATAAATATTTTTCATGCTATTACTTCTTTTGAAATTTATAAAAAGTAAATTTTGAATAACGGTTTACTTTGGTATACTTTACTATCTGATTAAAAGCAAATTAGAGGTAACAACATGAATTGAATGCAGTTTTTTTTTTCAGTAGACTGTTTTAAGCTGCATTTTTATAGAGGTTCACCTTAAAATCTTTGATACTTGCACAGGGATATTTTCGATTTAAGTTTTACAATATGTGATTAAAAAATGCCAAAACCCATAAAATTTTTAAAGGATCTTATATTTTTTTCCTTGGGTTCCACATAAAGTGAAGTGAGTTTTCTTTAAATTATAATTCTTAATAAATGAGAATTTATGACCAAGCTTTTTGAACAAGGTTTTTTCAGCAGCATGTTAAGAAAATGGATCTTAAGGCATTACTGCAAAATTAATTTTCTATCTGCTCTTTCATGAAAAGCATGAAACCTAGCAGGCTAAAATTCAGCCAACCCAGGAATCTTATATTTTTGAGAAATTATGCTAACAGATGTGTACGTAAAACCCTGCGTGGGATCCAGGATAGACTGATATATACTAATCTATATATTCATGCCTCAAATATAATATTTAAGGGAGTAACTACAATGGCCACATGTTTGTCTAGTGCTTTACTGGTTGCAAAGAGTTTAAATTTTAACCTACAGTATATCATATGGTGAAGAATCCAAAGGGAGAGACAGCAAGTATAAACAACAATCTGAAAAGAGCCCAATTTAAAAAGACACAAATGAAACATAAAAATTATAATAAAGTTCAGTTTTAGTAAAGTCTACTAGTGGGAACTTCTATCAAGTTTGGACCATTTTTAAAAAAACATAATTTAAGCTTATTTAGTCTTTGAGAGTACAAGTAGGAATTCCTTTATTTCTGTGGTACCGTCTATGTCTATTTAATCCAGCAAATCTCCGTTAGAGCTCTAAAGCAATTCTTTTGCAGAAAATTTGTTTCCTATAATCCATGTAGAACAGACATTTATATTTTAAATGGATTGGTTCATAATCCTTTGAAATTTACAACCTGCAGAGACAGATTCCATTGCCCTGAATAATATACAGCTATAAGATAGGATTGAAATGGTGCCATACCGCTGGGTGTTTCTGTCCTTTCTCTGCTGGTGCTTTTTAACCATAATCTTCTTCTGTTATTATTCTTATCTGCTGATGGTCCTTGAGGGGGATGCGGATGCATATTATGTAGATTGGCTGCTACATTTTCATATCAAAGAACAAAACCAGAACAGAAAGTGCTATATGGCTTGAAGTAACTCAGTAAATACAATTATCAGTATAATGAAAATATTCATGTATAATTCTGACATAACTTGAAGATACAAAGTGTATCAAAACTACAACTTCATAGAAAATAGGTATTTTTTCCTATTCCAATATTGGGATCCTATCAGGCTTTCAAAATTATTGACATACTTTATTCATGTAGTATAACCTTATAGAGGGCTAAAGTAATTTTACTAATGTTAATAAGACCACATGGTATATTAAAAAACATTAAAAAAATTGAAATTGACAGCCAACACAGAAAAACTAATTCTTCCTTTAAAACAGGAAGTGTAGATAACTATACATTCAACAAGAGCTTAGAGAGCAGCTTCCAAAGGATCCCTGGAGAATGGAGGTCAAACTTGAAGAAGACTTTTTAAGTATGATTTAATTTTGCAATAATAATAATCATAGCAGCATTTAACATTTCCTGAATGCTGAATTTCTTGGTGCAATATTATGCACTTAACTGGTTGTTCCTTTGAATTCTCGCAATGACCCTTTGAGGCACCTGCTATTTATTATTGGTATTAGTGCCAGTAGTAATGCCACTCCCATTTTACAGGGGAGAAAACTGAGGTTCACAGCATTTAAAAAGCTTGATCAAGGTCTCACTGACAGGCAGCTGGGACTGGATATCTATTTATTAATTTCCTTATCTCAGCTTCATACTTCGAGAGGAAAATTTTCTGTGATAGTGATAATTTCTAAATCAAATAAAATGAACTTAAATTTCACATTCTTTGCTTGCCTTTAAATCTCAATTTATAAAATGAGACAAAAATCCTTTTTCACTACAGGGTTTTTTAAATTTTATTTTTGTTGTTGTGAAAAGAAAGAGTACTTTACAAATGTAAGAGATTAATTAAAATATAAAATTAAGCTAAGAACACATAAAATGCACATGGCATTTCCAAAACATAGTGATAATGGAATGCTATTTTATTTCTGCATCAGTTATCATAAAATAAAAACATAGGGTATTATAGCAAGTTGAAATAGTGGAGAAAATAGAATGATTTTAGAAGCTAATATGAGAATTTAAAACATATTTCAAAATCCACCACCCTTTTCATTATTAAATGACAATTCTCTAGATATAACATCTAGACTTGAATATAACTTCTGATTTATCTTAACAAGAATATTTCTCACTATTTTCACTAGCTATCAATCTTTATGCATGATTCTTTCTTACCATGAATAGGTTTAGTCTGCTTTATCTGGCGAATGTTTTCTTTATTTCCTTGCTCCTCAGACTCAGATATCAGTAAGGCTGACACTTCTGTACCATTAACACATTTCTCTACAGTGGACGGCTGGCATGATCGGTTATTTCTGGACCCAACGGATCTCACTGTCTGTAAAGATAAGAAATGAATCTATACATTTTAAAATATAGCCACTACATTTGTTTTCTGTAGAAGCTACATAGTCAAAATAAAATTTGGACCAATGAAGAGTGAGAAAAAAACTAGAGAAAATGAGGTTAAGAAGTGAGGAAAAGGGAAATTATTACAGAAAATTAGAAAGGGAAAGAGAAAAATAACGAGATAAAATAGAAGACATGCAAGTCTCCTAGACACATAAATTAAAATGTGCTTATTTGCTACACTCCATCTTCAGTAGGTAGAAGCTGAATTAAAAATCACTGCATATGTCAGAAATTCAGAGGAAATTAAAAATAAAAAACCTAACATTTGAGAATCTGTTCATTGTAAGGTGTCTAGTTATGATCCAACTCTTTCTCTGAAGGAGATGGCAAACATGCTCACCTATATTTGCCTTTAAATTTTGTGAACATATTTAATGAAAAGAATACTCAAAAATGTTAATTATGTTGACGTGACACAAAGGAAACTCTTTTGAAGTCTTTTAAAATCTGTAATTTCTCTTCCAAATTTATTCATGCCTTCTGCTTTTGGCATGTCATGTCGTGTCTGTCTGTCTCTCCCTCCCTCCCACTACAAGGGGAAGAAAGTCTTCCCTTACCAGGTCAATTGTGCTTAGATAAACTCTTCAAACCTTGCTCCTACCTCGCTGGATATCCTCATGTTATTCCTTCTGCCAGAGAGTGGAGGTGGCCCAAGAACTTTGGATCCAAAGGCGATATGACAAACATCTTGATTTTTACTGTTCCGTGCACTACCTGTTCCTTTGTAAACAAACTGATCTGTTTTGTTAAAGAAAGGTAATAACAGTCCATTAATGGATACAATGACCAGCATCACATTGCAATCTTTCTGAAAATCCAGTCCAGGTGCCATGGGATCCAAATCCTCCCTCCTCCATCAGCACTTATTAAAAACTCAGATGCTAGGGCTCAACATCAGAGACATAAGATGTATAGAATTAAAATCTTGGAGGAATCACAATACTTTTAATAAGTTCCCCCAAGTAATTTTTATACTCGCCGTCATTTGAGAACCACTACCACAAAGTGTTTCTTAAAAAAAAAAGGGAAAAGCTACTATAAAAATACATCTTATTTTTTTTAAGGAAATAATTTAAATAAAATTATTTAACTCAACTGAACAAATATTTAACTGAATACTCTCTCAGGCATTTCCTAGAGGCTGTGATACAAAATGGAGCCTGGAGATGGGGATGAGACCAGTAAACAGGTCCCCAATGTAAGGCAGACCATGGGAATGAAGAATAAGTGACTTCTTCATGGACCATGAATGACTGATGCAATTTCAAGAATAAGAGAAGGAGGATGCCCTAGGCAGAAGAAAGCAGTGGAGTAAAGGCATGGAAGAAGGGAAGGGTAGGGTGTGCTTGGGAGTCAGGAAGTGGCTGGTTTAGCTGGAAGAAGAGGCTAGGGTCATACTGAAAAGAGCCTTAAAATGTGAAGAGCCGATTCTAAATTTGTTAGGCAACAAGGAATCCCTGAAGGTTTTAGGGAGAAAGACAGCAAAATGGTGTCACCTTCAGCACAGGGCAGGTGTGCTCATCAAATCCTGCTGCCTTCCTTTCTGCACACACAGCTAAATTATGTATCTGGGAAAATAAATTATGTTTCCCTGCAGTTAGTTATATGGGCCACATGACTGAATTCTTTTTTTTTTCTTTTTGAGACAGAGGCTTGCTCTGTCACCTAGGCTGGAGTGCAGTGGCATGTTCTCGGCTCACTGCAACTTCTGTCTCCTGGGTTCAAGCGATTCTTGTGCCTCAACCTCCTGAGCAATGGGACTACAGCCACAAACCACCATGTCTGGCTAATTTTTGCATTTTTAGTAGAGATGGGGTTTTACCATGTTGGCCAGGCTGGTCTCCAACTCCTGACCTCAGGTGATTAGCCCACCTCAGCCTCCCAACATGCTGGGATTACAGGTGTAAGCCACTGCGCCGGACCCATGGGACTGAATTATCGCTAATGGACTGTGAGAAGTTTCAGCCATTTCCTGGTCCCTAAAGCCCCCAGCAGAATCCCCCATGTTCTCTATTCCCTCACCTCCTGACAAGACACAGAAGATCTTATGGAGGACTTTAAGGGCTCCAGGAAAGCCACTAGATGCAGGTCCCTGAATGACCACATAAAAGGCTTCCCAAGGAACTCCTGATTGGACTACAACTAAGGGGTTCTTTGTGACTGCAATTGGCATCCTCTGACTAACAGGGCAGGTGACAGTGATGGCCCTTAACTAGAAAGCCTTCTGCTCTGACCCACTTGTAAGACAGAACCAACTTAAATATTACAATGATGGCCACAAGTAAGTCCATATTTGCCCGCCAGTGCTAGGACATGTATGAGTTACTGGCCACTTCCTGTCTGACCTACTCCCTGCAAAAATTCCTACAGCGAGTTAGTTGGTCTCATTAGCCTCTGCTGTAGAGCTATAATTTTACATATTGGGGGATTAAAAACCATTCTCATGCATTGGCATAAGAAAAGACACACAGGTTTGTGACAATATACCATACTCAGCAAGATCCAGATATTTAGGTCTGACTGAAGTAGTGTGTGTACATATGGGTGTGTGGATCTGTTTCATTTGTAATAAATACATCTGAAGACATGGGCAGCGGCTAGATCGCTGAAGTGAACTGAAAGAATTTTTGCTGGACAGAAGACATGAGGTGAGAGGCTATTTATCATATCAGTTTTCCTGAAATTCTTGAAGTCCTATTAGGTAGGAGAGAAATTCCATTTGTCTAAAGGGCAGAATCAGAAGTAATGGGTAGAATTTACTTCAGGAAGCTTTGAGTCCAATATAAGCGTCATTTTTCTCTAAACACGTCTGGTTGTTGAGTTGGTTAAGTTTTCTGCCATTTCAAAGGTGCTCAAGCAGAAGTCTGGATAGCTATGCTGGATGCTGTAAGGCAGGTCCTCAAGCAGAAGGCTGGATAGCTATGCTGGATGCTGTAAGGCAGGTCCTCAAGCAGAAGTCTGGATAGCTATGCTGGATGCTGTAAGGCAGGTCCTCAAGCAGAAGGCTAGATAGCTATGCTGGATGCTGTCAGGCAGATTCAGACATCAGGTGACTTCCTAATTTATATCTCTTAGCGTAGGTCTCACTTCTGAACTCCATTCCTTACATCCAGTAGCCACTTTACCAGCTCCTCTTCAGTGTCTCAAAGGCACTTGAAACTGGAAACCTGGTCTAATGAATGGAATCCCAATCCAACTGGTATGAAAAGTCGGAACCCAGGTGTCATGCTTGACGCCTTCCCCCAGTCTCTCCATGTCGAACCCATGTCTGCTTCCTTCCATCTCCTCCACCAGCACTGACATCCAAGCAAGCCATCCTCCTCCTTTTGGATGATGACAAAGCCTCTCATGTGACTTAGTGTGTTCATTCTGGCGTCCCATGCCATCCCTCCTCCAAAATGCAGACAGAGAGGTTTTATACAAACATAAATCTAATTGAGTTATTATCTTTCCTTCACTTAAAGTTCTTGAATGACATCCCTGCTGCTCTCAGGAGTAACACGAAAAGCTCTTAACATTGCCCACAAAACCCTTCATGTTCTGACATGTCTTAGTGTCTTACACCTTTGATTTTCTGCTCTCTTGGCAGATGCGCCTTCTCAGTTCTTTCTGTCTGCCGGACGGTTTGTGCATGCTGTTCCTGCATGAAGGCTTTTCCTTTCCTTCTTGGCCTTTATGCTTCAGCTCACATATCACTTCCTCAGACAAGTCTTTGCAGACCTTCCTGATTAAGGTAAGTTCCTCTAATATAGGCCCTTCCATAAACTTTCCCTCTTAGAACTTGTCAGAATTGAACTTTTACACGTGTCCATGGGATTCTCTAATTAATGTGTGATTCAGTAGATACAAACTCAGTGGCTTGCTTTTGTCACCCTGAACTGCCAGCACTGAGCCCAGTGCTTGACACAGAATAGGCACATAATCGTTCCTTGCTGAGCAAATGAATGAATTGTTAAATGAAATGAGTCAGAAGGGAAGTTGGATAAAATGACTCAAATATGTCTAACTAAGGTTTGAATTTCATTTTAAGAGAAATCTACCTAGGGGTTTTATGTGTGAATCAAAAAGGAAGACTGGACAGATCTAGGCAACTCCAGGATGTGAGAGATGAGAGAGAAGGGATAACAATGAACAAGATGCTGATATTCACATAAATGATAAAGCTCTCAACAGCTGCAATGCTACAGCACCACAATCAGATGCTATTCAGATTGCACATGAAATTTCCTAGAGTCACCACATAGACTTGGCTATGTGTGTAAATGTATTTTTTTTACCATCCATTTATAAATATCCAATTGGAGTCAATAAAAGTCTCTCAAAATTGACAATAGGAAGAAATGACACTCACATTCCAGCCCAATTGGAAAAATCTATTACAGTCAATATTTGTGCCTTTTGTGACTAAGTAGAACAAATTCTAGACTATTTCTCAAATGCTAATTTTGTCAGAGAAAAATGGCCGCTGAGAGTACTGAGGGGCTACATGGGACATGGTGTGGGCCTGGGAAGGAGTTCTGTACCAGCACAGGGCCTTTCTTCTCTCTTCCAATCCTGGGAACTCAATGTTTAAATAAGGGCCTATTTTTCTGTTCAAATATTGTACAAGAACAATTTCCTGATGTTTTATCATATTCTTTATCTATAAGTAAGTTTCCCCTCAATTAATGTAAGTTCTTTATAGAAAGACCATAAATTTGGCACTGTATATACCTCCATTAGCTAAGCCCAGCTTAGCACACTGTAGGCAATGGATAAATCTCACCAAAATTATGGAAAAATAAAAATTAAATAGAACTTTTGTGGGGAGGGAGTACATTAGAAATCATACTGACTCAGTTCCAACTAAAATTTGACAAAATGAACACATTAACCAGTTCATAGTAATTAACAAAATTAAAACTCCTAAATACTTCAAATTTCTTAAAGGAATCTCTTGCTTCGTAGTGGATACCCAGAGTCTATTAAAGATACGCCCACACCTGATATGCTATCATCCCCTAAATCACAGAAAACAGACATTCTATATTTCATAATCCTATCTACTATGGAATTTCTTAAAGAGTAATCTACCACAGCATATTTAAATTAATGTTTATTTTTAAAAATTTTGCACATTTTGCTACATTTTATTTTCTGCAAAGTATACCAATATTCCACTATTTAGTGTCTCTTTAATTAATAGGCCTCATTAAACTTGTTATTATAATGAACACACCAATTCTTAAATCCTGCTTCACTTTAATAAATCTGTGTATAATCATATTGTCACAATTATCTCTATAAATATGTACTGTGCTATGCAGCTACCATAATCGGGTCCTAATTAACATCTACTAAGAAAAGTAACTTAGAACTTTGGTTTCTAAAATAAAAAGTAGAAGAGACGAAGTTTCCATAATGAGAAAAATCTTAATAAAAGAAAACTACAAGCAGAAACGCATGCTTTTGAATTCTAAGAGGAGCACTTTTAAGAGCTGATATCAATATGCATAATATAAGGTTAAAAATCAAGATTAGATTAAAGTCATGCTCTAGGCATTTCATTTTCTTGAGTTTGCAGAAAATGAACTTGGTGTAGGTCAGAGATGTTACCATTAATTATTTTGCTATTTTACTGAGGGGTACATGCCTTTGTAGTTAGATTGTAAAACCTGAGGGTCTACTCTCTAATTGTCTTTTAGAAAAATAAATATTCATTTTTGTCTCAAGATACAGTGTTCTAATTATTATCGTCA